GAAACTCTTGCAAATTCTCCCCGTGAACTAGCAAGGAGCGTGAACACAAGGAAACGACTAAGTGAACGAACGCAGAGATCACACGAGCACACGTGCCTAGCCCGCCGCCTAGCTCCCGTTGCTGCAGTTATCTCCGCATTCTTGGCGCACAAGTCAGCAGGGAGCGCAGCGCGGTAGCGAGTGTCACTAGTGCGGAGGTGCGTAATGAGGTCAGCGACTGTGGGAAAGGCAGCAAGGTCAGGGAAGAGGTACGGTAGCATGAAACGGCTCAGTGCAGTAGTGGTAGGGGAGGAGTAGCGTGCAACTACAATGTTGTACAAGGTCTGAGCACTCTTGTACTGACTAAAGTGTGCACGCTCGGAGGTAGGGAGGTGGCGACGCACGGCAAGACGTGCAGCAGCGTCGTGCGTGGCCCACTGGGAACGAATAGTGGCGTCAGCATCAGCAGCAGGGGCAGAGGAAGCGCCAGAGGTGAGGTCAAAGAGAGAGAGGCCGTCTGCCCTATCGCACTGTAAGAACAGCTGCAGGTCATCTACCCAGACCTCAAAGTCAATGGCCCGACCCTCAGCGTCAAAAGCGAGGACACTTGGGGTAGCCATGACGACTGTAGACTAGCTGTGCAAACAGTAGGGTCAGGGCAGTGCAGTGAAAGAGGCGCTGTGCTCACCGGACTGGGTAGCTCGGGCAGCTCGGAAGTAGGGCGGCTTAGCGGCTCGGCAGCTCGGCGGCTCGGCGGCTCTGCTGCCGGGCGGCTCGGCTGCTGGGCGGCTCGGGTGCTGGGCGGCTCGGCGGCTCAGCTGCAGGGCGGCTCGGCTGCTGGGCGGCTCGGCTGCTGGGCGGCTCGGCTGCTGGGCGGCTCGGCTGCTTGGCGGCTCGGTTGCTGGGCGGCTCGGCGGCTTGGTTGTCCGGCTGCTCTGGTGCCCGGGCGGCTCGGCGGTGCTGCTGCAGGGCGGCACGGCGGTCGGCTGCTCGGCTAGGTGGGGTGGGTCGGGCAGTCGTGGTGGCGGGCAGCGCTGCAGCAGGTGAGAGGCGGCGAGGCCGCAGCAGAGGGCGACGAGGCCGCAGTAGAGGGCGGCGAGGCCGCAGGTGACGGCGGCGAGGCCGCAGCAAAGGGCGGCAGAGGCCGCAGTAGAAGGCGGCGAGGCCGCAGCAGAGGGCGGCGTGGCCGCAGCAGAAGGCGGCGAGGCCGCAGGTGAGGGCAGCGAGGCTGCAGCAGAGACGGGCGGCGACGGGCCGCTAGTAGGGCGGCGATGGGGCCGCAGGTGAGAAAGGGCGGCGACGGGCCGCCTTAGGGCGGCGGCGGGCCGCTGTTGAAAGGGCAGCGACGGGCGGCGGCTAGGGCGGCAACGGGCCGCTGCTAGGGCTGCGACGGGCCGTCGCTAGGGTAAGGGCGACGGGCCGTCGCTAGGGTGAGGGCGACGGGCCGTCGCTAGGGTAAGGGCGACGGGCCGTCGCTAGGGTGAGGGCGATGGGCCGCTAAGGGCCGCTAGGGCGACGGGCCGCTAGGGCGACGGGCCGCTGAGGGCGACGAGCCGCTAAGGGCGGCGGGCCGCTAGGGCGACGGGCCGCTGCTAAGGCGACGGGCCGCTAGGGCGACGGGCCGCTAAGGGCGACGGGCCGCTAAGGGCGACGGGCCGCTGCTAGGGGGACGGGCCGCTAAGGGCGACGCGACGGGCCGCTAAGGGCGATCGACGGGCCGCTAAGAAGGGCGCGACCCTAGGCGCACTTTGGGCAGGGGCAGGACGCGCCCCGGGCAGGAAAAAAAAGGTTGGTGGGCCCTAAGAACAGTTCCCACGAGGGAACCTGCTCGATACCATGAGAAAATATGAACAAGAATGGAATGAACTATGAAAGAAGTGAGTACAAGTACTAACCCTAATTGGGTTGTACCCCCTATGGGATACCCCACTATAGCCTACACAAAAGCATAAGCAATAATGTTCTGACAGCTAGCGTTGCGCCAGCAGGTGTTCTTGTGCGCATGTGCGCGCACCTACTTTGCAGGTGCAGGTCGAAGGTCGCTCATGTTGTGCATCATCACGCACATTGCATGGGTGCCAAGTCGGTCGCATGCCGACGGTTGCGCCAGATGTTCCTCGTCGACCTCGGGATACCAGCCCGCATGTTGACTTTGCCAAAACCTCATGGGCGACGTCCGCGTACCCTAGGGGTGAGCAAGGGGTGAACATGAACGTGTCTGTGTTCGCCCCTGCACGAACACATTCGTTCGCCAAACTGAACAGTGTTTGGTTCGGCGAACACTTTTAGCCATAAAGGGTGTTCGGTGTTCGCCTGTGAAGGCGTGTTCGGGCGAACCTCGAACACGTTCGTGTTCGACGCGGGGCGAATTGCAACAGCGGCCCGAACACGAACATGTTCAGGCGAACATCAAACACTCAAGGCAAAAAAAAAAAGCCTGTTCGGTTTGAATGTGTTCGAGGCGAACCGAACAGGCGTTCGTGATTTTGCTCACCCCTTAGCGTACCCCCACAAAAGTTTGCCGCCCTGGTAACTCGGTCGAGCAGGTAATGTCCCCAGCGCCCGATCTACGAACACCTTCGTCGACCATCCAAGTCGAAGTCGGCGCCCCCCAAGGTCGACAAACCTCCTTTGTCGACGACCCAAGTCGAAGTTAGCCGCCTGTCAGAATATTATCTTATTGTTCTAGCCTGTAGTGGGGTGCTCTATAGCGAGTACAACCCTTCTAGGGTTTGCTATTTGTATCCTCATTCTTGCTAGTTCAATCCTCTTTCTTTCTTCAAATTTCGTCATGCTATCAGAGCAGGTCGATCCCCTTGGATCGATCCTGTGGGTGTGTTCCCACCTCGCTTCCGCTGCTACTTTTTCCTCCCGCCGTGCGCCCCGAGGCGCGCGGCGGTTTTCTGCCCGCCGTGCGCCCCGAGGCGAGCGGCGGTTTACTGCCCGCCGTGCGCCCCGAGGCGCGCGGCGGTTTTCTGCCCGCCGTGCGCCCCGAGGCGCGCGGCGGTTCTCTGCCCGCTGTGCGCCCCGAGGCGCGCGGCGGGCGTCTGCCTCGCGGCGTTCGCCGCGTCCCGCTCTGGAGGCGTCGCGACGGGCGACGGGGACCCGTCGCGGCCCCGCCGCCCTACTCCGGTCGCGGCCCCGCCACCTTCGGCGCGCGGCCCCTTTCTTCTCTGGCGCGCCGCCCGCTGCCCCGTCGCGCCGCCCAGGGGAGCCGCGCGCGGCCCCCGCCCGTCCGTTACGACGGTCTGGGGTGTCGCGTGCGGCCCCGTCGTCGCCCGCAGCGACCCCGTCCCCACCCGCCGCGGCCCCTTCGCCGCCCGAGCGGCCTCGTCGCCGCCGCAGCGGCCCTGTCGCCGCCCGTGCGGCCCCGTCGCCGCCCGCAACGACCCCCTCCCCACCCGTCGCGGCCCCTTCACCGCCCGCGCGGCCCCGTCGCCGCCGCAGCGGCCCCGTCGCCGCCCGCGCGGCCCCGTCGCCCTACTCGCGGCCCCGGCCCCGGCCCCGTCCCCCCACCTGCGACTCTCTCAGGTCCGTGGTGGGCCCCTTTCTCCCCTCCCCCCCATTTCCCGTCGCCCGTCGCGGCTCCTTCGGGGGCTGCAAGCGGCCCCCTCAGGTCGCCTCGACGGACGACGGGAGAGGCGAGCTGTGGGGTGGCGGGTATGGGGGTGATCGGTGTGCCTTCCTCCCTTTGCTCCTCCTCCTCCTTCGTCTCCCACTGCTGCAGCTGTCGCTGAGGGGGGTGGTTGTGTGGGAGACTGGGGTTTAGGGTTTAAGGGGGGTGCGTGGGAGTAGAGCTAGCGGTGTAGCAGTGGGTGTGTATCAGGGGGGTGGGACTGTGTGCGGGAGGATGAGCGGAGGTTGCCAGTTTGTTGTCAGCAGCACCTGTAGTCCGGGGCGCTGTCCCGGTAGCCCAGTGAGCTAGACTTCTACGCCAGCCGCCTGTGGGTCCGTTGCCCGTCCGCCGCTATTTGAGCCGCGGGGCCTGTTACTCCTGTAGTCCGGGCGCTGTCCGGTAGCCGCTGTGCCAGTCTGCCTCATGTTGCCCGTGTGTCTGCAGCTTTAGCCGTCGCCTCCTATCTCCTCTCCCCTCACTCTCCCTCCTCCTCCTCACTTGCCCGTTGTGACTACCACTAGCTTTGCTTATAATTGTGAACTCTTAACTATTTCTTCTTGAACTTGTGCTCAGAATGTGTGGTGACATTGTGATCCACCCTGAGCTTGTATTGCTTTGCCTGCTCTGCTGATTACACCCCACTTTGGCTATGGGGGTGTGTCAGAATATTATCTTATTGTTCTAGCCTGTAGTGGGGTGCTCTATAGCGAGTACAACCCTTCTAGGGTTTGCTATTTGTATCCTAATTCTTGCTAGTTCAATCCTCTTTCTTTCTTCAAATTTCGTCACCGCCGACTTCATCTTGTCGGCGGCTTCACAGTGATCCTGCGCAAGTTGACCGAGACTGTCGACTTGCCCGCCCAAGTTGGCGTCGACCACTGTAGACAGCCGGTTGCACCTCCCCCGCACCCGACTGCAAAGTCCGCTTCGCCCAAGCGAGGGCGGGGCCACATTCCCGTGAACAAAGCCGACTATATATTCTCCAACCCCTCTGTTTTCCCTCCCCGTCCTCCCCCCTTTCACCTCTCCAGCACTCTCCACGGGTGCAGTGCAGTGGTGGGCATCGCTGTGGGCTCTGCTGCCGCCTTTGCACTAATCCTCGCTCTCGTTGTCGCGCTGCTCTGGCCCCGCCAACGCCGTGAGACCCTTCTCATTTTCCCCACTTTCCTTGATTCATTCACTACTGCAGTTGTAGCATCGAGTTGTGCTGCTTGTTTGTCTGCAGCACACTTGCTTGTGTGCAGTGCACGTAAATGTGTGCCACGTTGGATGTTGTGTGCTGATAAACGTGCCGCTCTACTGCAGTTGTTGCAGCGATTTGTGCGCCTGTTTTACCGCAGCACACTTGCTTGTGTATAGTGCGCTTAACTGTGTTAAATGTTGTATTCTTACGAAGTGTCCTGGAATGCTGTGTGGCATGGCAGGGCGGTGGAGCGACCTGGACGTGTGTCAGGAGTTCAGCATGGGGGAGATTCTGCGGGCGACAGACAACTGGGCGAGCAGCAATGTGTTGGGGAAGGGCGGCTTTGCCACCGTCTACAAGGGCGTCTCCTCCAAGGGCGAGCTCTGGGCTGTCAAGCGCATTGCACTTATGTCCAACGACTTTGAAACCAAGGTGAGGAATGGAAACTCCTGCTCCCCGACAGGCTGGTCGTGCCCCTCCATGTGCCCATCAGCTTGCTTGCTTCTCCCCGTGCTAGCTCGGTACCCTTTCACTGCATGAGCACTCTGCGCCACATATCGGTTCCCTCCACCTGCAGGTGTGGCATGGCGCTGCTGCAGCATGAGACGTCCCTCTAACATCCTTTTTCTTCAGCTCTAATTCCCCTAGAATTCTCCTCGAGTGTGGGCGATACTGTCACTGCGGCATGAAATTTCCTCCTTGTGCAATGGCCCTCCTCTGGCAGGTGCAAGTGATGGTGTTGCTGCGGCATGAAAACGTCCCTTAAACCCCCTATTTAATTCGCCCTTCAACCTTTTTGCCACCGGCAGGTGCGGGCAATGGCGTCGCTGCGGCATGCGAACGTGGTGCGCCTGTTGGGCTTCTGTCTGCATCAGAACGTGGAGAGCGGCCAGCAGGAGCAGATCCTCGTCTACGAGTTCGTGCCCAACGGGGACCTCAAGTACCACATCCATGACTCCAAGAGTACGCTCCCTCTCCTTGCATTTTAAGGGAATAAAGAACCATCTTTTTCCTGGATATGTTGCTCGAGTTCAAAGCAGCTCCATACAGGAGCCATAACTTTATGTGGCAGCACCTTTTAGCAAACATAATATTTTGTTTTGTTTATGTACATTTGCTTGAAAAAAAACCTTGTGTAAGGAAAAAAAAATGTTATGGAGAGCTAGATGCGTTGAAACTAGTTACCGCCAAAGGCTCCTTACACAAGGTTTTTTTTCAAGCATATGTACATAAGCTAAACAAATTGATATGTTTGCTAAAATTTGCTGCCACGTAAAGTCATGGCTCCTGTATGGGACTCCGTTAAACCACTGTCCTAGAAATGTTGCTCAAGTATCACATGCATGAGTGCAAATGTTTGTTCCCCCTTCTTGTCGGCTTTGTTCCTTGCTTTAGTTTCTGTTTTCCCTCTCTCCTTCTCCCTCTTCCACCTCCCAGGGCCATTAACTTTGAAGCAGCGACTGCAGCTGGCAGTGGGGGCAGCGGAGGGAGTGGCGTATCTGCACAGCTTCGCGACGCCCATCGTGCACCGCGACCTCAAGCCCGGCAACATCCTGGTGGGCGAGCACAACCAGGCCAAGATAGCCGACTTTGGGCTCCTCAAGATGCTCAGCCATGCAGAGGGCAGCGACGACCGCACTCGAGTGGCCAACACCCCGGGCTACCTCGACCCCGACTACAACCGCACCGAAGTCGTCTCCGAGAAGAGCGACGTCTACAGGTGCCCGTGCCCTTGCTATGACCTGCGGTGCGATATGTGAATACCAAATAAGCATTTTTATTCACGCCTGTTGGCATGCTCATTGCATCTCCTTGTTTGAGAAGCTTCATCTCATCTCTGTACGGGCGTTCTCCCTCACAACATCGAGCACGTAACAACTTTTTTTCTCCTTCCTTTCCCTGCTCTCCCCACTGCCCGTCCAACCTTTATCGGTGGAGCAGCTTTGGCGTCGTGCTGCTGGAGCTGCTAACAAGGCAGAAGGCAGCCGTAGAGGGCACCGACAGCCACATCAGTGACTGGGTGAGTGCATGCATGGTGGGGTTGACTACGGGCCAAACCGGGCGGGGTCGCCCAGAAATACGGGCCGAACCGGGTAAAGTCCAGGGGCCGGCCAAGGTACTCCTCTCAGCTGGGTTTAGGCATATTGGAACCGGGCCAAAAAAGGTTTGGCCAATTTTTTCCTGATCCAAGCCAGAGTTCGACTCAGTAACTTCGTGTATAAATACCTACCGGTACATGCAAATGCTCACTTTTCGTAATGTTGTCTAAGCCATTTGTCTAGTAGGGTCCTTGAACCCGCACATTGTAAGTGGCATACACAATAACAGCTCCAACAAACACTACATATTGACAAGTCAACAAATCGCGAATAAATTATGAAAGATGTAAATTATGAGAGGAATTGCGATTAAGTGAGAATCAGCCGAAAGAGTCGTTGTAACTCGAAAAGCAGTGAGGACGGAGCCACCAGAGTTGTTGCGTAGGATTAGTCATTTTACGACGAACGCATTTCTCAATTAAACGTAAATCCGCTCCGTAGAATTGTGCATCGTATGCTTAGCTATCATATCCAATTTAATCAGCGTAAAAATAGTCTATGTCAAATTATATGATTTATATAATTTAGGTTTAGGTTTTGTAGGGGTGTTTCTTAGGGGGTACAACTTTTCTCTCGTCACTTTTGTACCCCATGCCCCAAACTAGTCGACATCATTCCTCTCTCACCTTGACATGGTATAGAGCAGGAAGGTTCCTAGGAAGGGCCCACCACGTTTAAGAAATTTTTTTCTGCCCGGAGCGCGCTTTGCGTTTCCCCTAGTCGCGCCACGGGCGCTTTCTCCTCGACGGCCAGTTGCGGCCGTTTCTTTCTTCGTTTTTCCCGGCCCCTTTGTTGGCCCCGCGCGACTCTCTCACGGCCTCCCCCCCCCTCCCTTTTTTTTTCCACGGCCGTGTCGTGACTCTGTCGCGCCTTTTGCGGCGTCGCTGCCGCCCGGCCGCGGCCTCGTCGCCGCCGATTCGCGGCCTTGTTGCCGCCGGTTTGCGGCCTGGTCGCCACTGCAGCTGCAGCAGCAGCAGCCGCCGCGCCATCTGCAGCAGCCGCCGCTGCATCTCCAGCAGCAGCCGCAGCCACACCTTCTGCAGCGGCCGCCGCGTCATTTCCTGCAGCATCAACGGCTGCATTGTCTGCAGCAGCCGCCGCTGCATTTTCAGCAGCAGCAACTGCCGCTTCTTCTGCAGCAACTGCCGCTGCATTTCCAGCAGCAGCAACTACTTCACCCTCTTCAGCGGCAACTGCCGCATCTTCAGCAGCAGCCGCCGCTGCATCTACAACAGCAGCAGCTGCTGCATCTTCTCCAGCGGCTCCTTCCGCATCTTCAGCAGCAGCCGCCGCAGCATCTCCTGCAGCAGCAGCTGCCGCATCTTCATCAGCAGCCGCCGCAGCATCTACTGCAGCAGCAGCTGCCGCATCTTCATCAGCAGCCGCCGCAGCATCTACTGCAGCAGCAGCTGCCGCATCTTCAGCAGCAGCCGCCGCAGCATCTACTGCAGCAGCAGCTGCCGCATCTTCAGCAGCAGCCGCTGCAGCATCTCCTGCAGCAGCAGCTGCCGCACCTTCTGCAGTAGCAGCCGCCGCAGCATCTACTGCAGCAGCAGCTGCCACATCTTCTGCAGCAGCAGCCGCCGCTATCTCCTGCAGCGGCCGCCGTAGCTACATCAGCATCAGCCGCCGCTGCCTCTGCAGCAGTGGCCGCCGCCGACCCAGCAACGACCGCCTCCGCATCTCCAGCAGCGGCAACAGCCGCACCTCCTGCAGCAGCTGCCGTCGCCGACTCAACTGCAGCAACTGCCGCAGCTGTCCCAACTGCTGCTGTTCCTGTTATCCTTCCATTTTCGACTGTTCCTCCTCCTGCTATCATGGCTAGCGCTCCTGTCCTAGCCTTCGATGCTGAGGGTCGCCCAGTGAAATTTGACACCTGGCTTGAGGATCTCCACCTCTTCCTACAGCTCACTGCCAAGGAAGACATCTCCCTGTATGATCATGCCCTCGGCCATGCTACTGCCCCTGACTCCTCTGCTGCCAGCACGCTACGCTCCCAGTGGCAGACCCGCGACGCGCATGCTCGCTTTGCTATCCGCAACTCGCTACCGCTAGATGAGCGCGAGCACTTCGGCCAGTGCAAGACTGCTCAGGACCTGTACACACCCGTCGTTGCCCGCTACTCCTCGCCTGCGTCTGCCACCCTAGGCCGCCTCACCCTACCCTACCTCTTCCCTGACCTGGCCTCTTTTCAGACCGTTGCCGATCTCATTACTCACCTTAAGACCAGTGAGGCCCGCTTTCGCGCTGCTATGCCTGCCGAGTTCCTCGCCAGCAACCCCCCACCGCTCTGGCTCACGCTCTACCACATTGTCACCCGCCTCCCTGACTCACTGCGCGCAGTCAGGGACTCTCTTCTTGCTCGCTCCCCTACTGAGCTCACCATCGCCATCCTTGAGAAGGATCTACTTGCAGCTGAGGCGAGCATCGTCGCCGTAGGTGCCTCTCGTGGCGAGCCCCGCCACCCCTTCTTTGAGGGGTGTTCCCCTTCCCCCCTTCTCCCCTCTGTCGCCACTGCTGCTGCTGTCGACCTCCTTGGTGCTGAGAAGGTCGGGGCTGCGTCTGCCTCGAGCGGGCGTCGCAAGAGCAGGGGGGGCAAGGGTGGGGGTGGAGGCGGGGGCGGTGGGGGTGGCGGCAGTGGGGGTGGCGGTGGGTCTGGAGACACTGGTGGTGGCAGTGGGGGTGGTGACAGCGGCGGCGGGAGTAGTGGCGGCAGCGGCGGTAGCAGCGGCGGCGGTGGTGGTCGTGGTCGCGGCAGGGGTGGAGGTGGCCGAGGCGGTGGCGGTGGCGGTGGTGGTCGTGGAGACGCTGGTGGTGGCCAGGGTCAGCAGCACGCCCCGACCCTCCAGGCCGCCCGTGAGTGGTACGCACAGCGTGGTTCCACTTGCACGTACGTCCACCGCACTGGTGACCGCAAGGGCCTGCCGTGTGGGAGGCCGCACCCCACGCAGCGCTGCTACCAGCGCCTTACTGACGCGTGGCGCGCCCAGTTTCCTGGGGGTGCTGAGCTGCCCCACTGGCCTGAGCTGGAAAAGAAGGGTGTTGATATTTGGGCTTTAGACTTTGATGCTATTCTCACTGCCATGTATGCGATGTCTATTAGTGGAGAGAGTGCTCAGTACCTGCGTGTTCCGCCCGACCCGGGCATTGTGACTTGTCAGGCTCCCGCTCTCAGTACTTGTGAGACTGCTGTCCCTGGTTCTGGTGAGGCTGCTGCTCTAGGTGCTAGTGTGTCTGCTGCCCTGGGTTCTGGTGAGGCTGCTGCCCTAGGTACTAGTGTGTCTGCTGCCCCAGGTCCTGGTGAGGCTGCTGCCCTAGGTACTAGTGTGTCTGCTGCCCCAGGTCCTGGTGAGGCTGCTGCCCTAGGTGCTATAGCCCCAGTCGCCCCTGGTACTGAGCCGACCGCCGCACTCCACACCTTCACTCTTGACTCAGGTGCTTCCCGCTCCTTCTTTCGTGACCGCACTGTCCTTGAGCCTCTTGCTCGGCCGGTTGCAGTCTCGCTAGCTGACCCCACTGGGGGTCCAGTCGTTGCGACTCACTCCACTGTCCTCCCTTGTCCTGCAGTCCCGTCCGGCACGCTGTCGGGTCTCTACCTCCCCTCGTTCTCTACGAACTTGGTGGCAGGATGTGAGCTACAGGATGGGGGTGTTCACCAGACCACCCCTGCCTACGAGCGAGTGACCCACTGCACGTGTGCCCGGACGGGTCGCCACCTGGCTACCTTTACTCGGGAGCCGGGGTCGGACCTGTACACACTGACCACTGAGTCCCCTCAGGTAGCTGCGTCCGCGTCTGCGTCGGCGTCAGGTCAGCTGTCCGCCCCCTGCTCGTGTCGCTCTCTGGCGCACGACACTGTCCTCTGGCACCACCGACTTGGCCACCCGTCT